TTGCTTGGTTCATTTCCTCATGCCGCAGAAGCAGCTTTGCAGATGGGTCATGATTTTAACAAACGCCAAAAAACACACGGGCAAAACTAACAAAGGAGGCCAAACGATTGTTCTCCCACGTGAGAAAGACCAACAGATCATCCAACGGCGATAAAGGTATATGAAACCACTTGATTCCAATGGCCAGTGGACACAGAGGCATGACATGAAACGCAGCCTACACCTGACCTTGGATCGCCAATTTGAAGGTGACATGACACCGCCTGGCTTGGCCCCATGCAAGCCAAAAGTCGCAAATGCTTTTGATTGCTGTGGCGACAGCCTGCCTATCGAACATCACATTACTTCGTGTGATCCCAAGGATAATTATGCTGGAGAGAGGCCCCGAACAGTATGGGTGTGTGAGGATAATGTATGATCATGTTGAGGATGAGATTGATGAGAGTGATGGTGATGATGATGGCAATGGTGATGGTGGTGGTGATGATGATGGTGGTGATGGTAAAGATGACGATGTTGATGATTATGATTGTCATGATGATGATGATGGTGATGATGATGATGATGATGAAAATGACAATGCCACGGATGATGAGGTGCAGGATGCCTGATGAGGTGCAGGATGATGATGTTGAGCACGATGAGGTGGAGGATGATGATGTTGAGGAGCATGACGATGAGGATGTTCATGCGGAAGATGAAGTGGAGGATGATCAGGTGGATGATGGTGATGATGATGATGAGGATGATGATGATGATGAAAATGACAATGCCACGGATGATGAGGTGCAGGATGCCTGATGAGGTGCAGGATGATGATGTTGAGCACGATGAGGTGGAGGATGATGATGTTGAGGAGCATGACGATGAGGATGTTCATGCGGAAGATGAAGTGGAGGATGATCAGGTGGATGATGGTGATGATGATGATGATGATGAAAACGACAATGCCACGGATGATGAGGTGCAGGATGCCTGATGAGGTGCAGGATGATGATGTTGAGCACGATGAGGTGGAGGATGATGATGTTGAGGAGCATGACGATGAGGATGTTCATGCGGAAGATGAAGTGGAGGATGATCAGGTGGATGATGGTGATGATGATGATGATGAGGATGACGATGACGATGATGATGATGATGTTGATGAGGTTGAGAATGATGATTGCAAGGAGGAGGAAGATGATGATGTTGAGGAGGATAATGTCGAGGAGGAGGGCCGATCCCAAGACCGGGACCCACACTTTGTGCGAGCCTGCGCAGTCGAAATGCGCATGGACATGTCAAGTAAGAAAGCCACTTCATCCGAGAATTTACACGAAGAATGCCGCGGTCCAAGACCGCGACCCCCACTTTGTGTGAGACTGTGCAATCGAAACGCACATTGACATCTCAGGAATTTTGCCAAAATGCAGCACAATGCGGCAGCCCAAGGCCGCGGATCACACTTTGTGCAAGCCTGCGCCGTCCAAAAAATAGTCGTTCTGATGAAATTAGTGCATGATGCTATATTCTGATTTGACAATGTGAAATATAGCCTGACGTGTTTTCTGACAAGCATGGTCACATTCGACCCATTTGACCCCTGCCAAAATTTTACTTTGCATACATTCTGACAATTGCTTTTACAATCTTTCTATGAAAATAGATGTGCTAGAAATGCTCACATGTTTTGAAATTCTGACAGAGGCTTTAAAAGCAAAGATCCTGCCATACGAATTCTAGCATTTTACTCCAGCAACTTTCCTCTGTATAATCTGTTCCGACTTGCTGTCGCAAACTTGATTCATGTTTTTGTTTGACACGAGTTGTAAACCCTCTGACATATAGGCACGAGGTCTGGTGAGCCACACTGATTGCAGAGCCTGTCTTAAGGCCTAAATCCCCATGAGGTTGAGGTCCGGTGAGACAGAGCCCCAGAGCTTGGCATAGGTTCGAGGTCTGGTGTGTCTGAAGTCAAGCTCTGGCGAACTACACGCGCACACGCAGCATATAAGTGAGCTAGTTTTTTTTGGTAGCATTTGACATGAAATCCGGTCAGAGGCACATATCCATCCGCTTGCTGTGAGAGGAGGCGAAAGAGGAGGAGTAGCAGGCTGAGAGGAGGTGAAACAAGGGAACAACGCCTTTAGGCGGGCGTGGTTTTTTAATCATTGTGGTTTCGGAGCTTGAGTCACAAATGAGGATAGTCCATGATGATTTACAGAGATTTTTTACTTCCGCGACATGAAGTTTTGATATCAGCTCGCAGAGGTCAACATCTGCAAGAAAAAGGCAGCACATCAACTTCTGCTTTCAAAGCTGGCGTGTTTTCTTTGGTTTATTGTCTTCAGCCTCCATTCTTCGTGTTGAAGAGTTGACCCATCTTCTGTACATACATATGTTGAGTTTGGAAACGCAACTGCCATGATCGCACGTACAGCATGAGTTTGGTAAATGACGTTAATTGTTACTGCGGGGATTGTTGCCCTGAATGCCTTTCAAACTCAGAAACCCTTCAGCACAGGCATCACGGTATGTGCTATATCCCAAGCCGATGTTAGATCTAGAAAAGCAAAAAACACAGAAAGCACAAAGAATCACAGCGGTGTTCTGGAAAACAATCTTTAGATGATAAACATGTAAAATCCTGCTTTCCCTGGCTACAATGCGGGATCAAGCGCCCGACCATGAATGAGAGGCAGCCCTGCACAACCTGCAGGAAACAAGATTCTTCTCAGTCCTGATCCAGTCATCCCCAGGGGGCGCACTGATTAAGGAAAGCACTAGCTACACATTCCACAACTTGCTATGATATGAATGTGACAGCCATCAAGCAGTCCCTCAGGGACACACCCAGTAGGAAAGGATACCAGTGGCAACAGGGGAGAATTCATACAAAAACGGCTCCACCGCAGCGGAAAAACAGTCCTGTGTTTGCACCTTCTGGAAATGTTCAATTTCACTTTGTAATTCCAGCAAAGTGGGCAAATCCTCTCGAGATAATGGCGGCACCTCAGTCATCTTATTTGGTGGAAGGATGCCAGAGGCTTGGCCGGCTGCTAGACGACCAAAAGATCCAACATCAGGCCCCATTTTTCTACATTGCATGTGCATTCACCAATCGAAAGAACAAAGGTCAGTCAAGATTATTCTTTCAGTGTTTGCGGTGTTGATCTATAAATATAATATATATATATCATATATTTAATATATGTATATATAAAATGATTATATATAAAATATTATCATATATCAAATAATAAATATATATATTATAGTATTAAAAAAATATTATATATATATATACAAATATTCCCCACCTGCCAGGCGAGGGTTGTTAGATTTTATAAGAGCTCTCCGCCGCCTTGCTCCTCCACCTCCTCCTTGCCAGCTCCTGATCGCAGTGGGGACCGCTGGACCTCAACCGGAGACCTCCCGAGCCCAGTGGGCACCGCTCGACCTCAACCGCCAGATGAAATGCCAAAAAGAATGCCAGATAGAATGCCAGACAGAATGTCAGATAGACTGACAGACAGAATGTCAGAATATATGTCTGATAGAATGCCAGAATGTATGTCAGATAGAATGCCAGATAGAATGTCAGAATATGTCAGATAGAATGCCAGATAGAATGCAAGAATATATGTCTGATAGAATGCCAGAATGTATGTCAGATAGAATGTCTGATAGAATGCCAGAATGTATGTCAGATAGAATGTCAGATTGAATGTCAGAAGATATGCCAGATAGAATGCCAGATGGACTGCCAGAGCGAATGCCAGAATATATGTCAGATAGAATGCCAAAAGATATGTCAGATAGAATGCCAGATAGAATGCCAGAAGATATGTCAGATAGAATGCCAGAATATATGTCAGATAGAATGCCAGATAGAATGTCAGAATATGTCAGATAGAATGCCAGCTAGAATGCCAGATAGACTGCCAGACTGCCAGAATATATGTTGGATAGATTGCCAGAATGTATGCCAAACAGAATGTCAGAATATATTTTAGATAGATTGTCAGAATATATAGAACATATGTCCAAATATACGTCTTGACATGTCATTGTGGGGATCACACGAAGTTAAGTAATTTCTCAAGATGTAATTGAATATCGGGTCTATGTATATCAGCGGCCTTGTGCAAGCAAATTCCTCAAGACTGTGCCAATACATATTTTTCCACAACCCGTTGAAAATTCAGACACGTGACCATACCAACATGGCGTTTGCGAATAGCTTCATCGCTCTCGTTTGGCTGGCGCGTGAGCTTATACCCTCAGTGGGAGGCAACGATTTCACAAACCAGGCAGCTTGCTTGTTCAACTGAAAAAAGAATTCCGGCAAACATTCCTGCATGCCCAAATATGATACTGTCAGGCCAGAAATCAGCAACAACCGTGCCCAACTGCCATCGTCATTAAAGGTAAAGTACCCTGCACTAGACGGTGCACCATGCGTGCAGGAGTTTGCGGAGAGAATATTTTCATGTTCCGTTCTAACCCTGTGATCCTGAAACATCTTTGTATGTGCACCCACCCCCAGCGCGCGCAAACTCACTGCACTATTAGGAAACAATATAACTTGTCGCTTGTCATCTCCTCCAAACCAGATGGTGAAAGCAATGTGGAAAACAAGTGCCAGACATGGTATGCACAAAACATCTCAAAAAAACAGACTAGTGGCCTTGGAGGAGCCACCATCCCATGCGACGTTGAAGAAGTTTTTCTTCCTCATGGCCACTTCCGGACGTCAGTTGCTTGATGCATCTCCGAATGCCTGAAGAAGAGCCATCACGGGTAGACTGATGGCATTGGCATGTTACATAGTAGCAGCTTGCCTCAGTCAGACATGGCCTTCCCAGCCGATCACTGCAATTTGCTCCTGTTGAAGCAACAACCATTTGGACTTCAAGGAATCAAAGTACCAGAGCTGACAGCCATGGCAAAATTATAGCCTGAATTAAAAAACAAACATGCATACATATAATGCTTGTTTTTTAACTTGAAACCTTTCATTTTTCCTTATACACCCTAGTGGCGTTGGCTTTGTCATTGCGCTTCACGCAGGCAATTGATCCAAACCAGATCGTTGACTCGTCAAAGATGGAGGATGGTATCGTTGACATTGGGGGATCGGAGTATGCCAGACCTCCACGAAGAGGTTGAGAAATCTTGTCCTTGGGCTGATTCTGCTTGGTGCGCTGAGCTGCTAGCTTCGAGTGCATTTTCGGTTGGGGCAATCGGCTTGATGATGCAGGCACAGAGCTTGCCGCAGCAGAAGAGGAACTTGCTGTGGACAGGGCCTCAACCCCAGAATTTTTCCCATCCGTTGGAGGCATGGACTGTCCATCACCAGACACGCCCGCATCCGTTGCCTCGCCCTCAACAGAGGCTTTGTCAATGTTTTCTGCAACCAGCTGCTCTTCTCTTTCAAATTCAAGGTCGGCTTCTTGCTGTGGCATGGATGCACTTATGCAGACAGAACCAAGCAAAGTGCTGGACGAATCATCTTCATTCTCACATTTGCCATCCCCCGTGGCATTGCTCGCATCTGGCGTGGGGGGGCATGGACGAGGAGAGTATGCGCCTGCAGCACATGTTGCTTCATCATCATGATGGCTCACCTCTGCAGAGGGCTCGCCACTGCCAGAGATACATCTTGCATGGGCAGGCTCTCTCATTCCCAACATCACAGTGACAGGCTCCATGCCATCAGACATTGCGCCAACCTGGCAGCCACTTGCAGCTTCTGAACTTCCAATACTGCCAAGATTGTCACTACAGCTGGACTTGCTAATGCTCCTCTCATCGTCGCTGGCTTCACACTGCACATCTTCACGGCTTTCCCCAAGCACACTTGAGGGCTGACGGCGTCCAAGGCCTTGACGCACATCAGGTTGAAATTTGGTTCGGGAGCTTGGTCGCTTGTCGCTAGACAACCTGCAAGGAACCCTATCTTCATCTCCACTCGAGACGAGGACTGGGCTACGTGATTCATTAGGTTCATCTCTTGGTGTGGTTTGCTGTGACGGGCTGCAGTTTCCCAAGTTTCTTTCTCGCTCAACTTCATGAGTGGTCCTTCTGGGGCGGGATGTAGAGGAAGAAGCGGAGGGGCCACCAGTGTGAGAGGAGCTGCGGCTCAGCCCGCATGTGCTACGTGCTGGTCGCCGTTCCTTTTTCTGAGGCGGCGCCATCTCGATGCTATGTCTGTTGGATCCTGTCTGAGCGATTCAATTTGAAACTGGCTCTTTACCATGTGCCCCAAAAGGTAAAACATTATGGGTGGATACGATAGGAACGGCTGCCATCACCTATTAGAAAGTGTTCTTGTCGCCTTGCGTGCTACGCAATACCTGCCGACTGAACTGGGGTGATTGAAGGGCTGCACTGGCTGCACCGCTACAACAGTTTGTGTGGGATCATTTTGGGATGACCTGGCCTGACAAGTTGACTTCTATTTCCATCTCGGATTCTTCTGCCCCGTTCTCAACGGACTGATGTGGCTGAGTGCGTTTTTGGCCTCGTCGGTTCTGCTGTTTCAAATCCATATAGTACCGAGCAGACTTGCCAGGCAGGACTGTCTTGAGTTGACCATTGGGGTCTTCCTTCAGCAAGTCAAGGCAAAGCTCATAATACTTTTTGATCTGGCCATGGAAGATGCGACCCAATCCTTTGGAAAAAGCATCCGAAGAGAGCAATAGCAAATGCAAGTACTCATGGTGCAGCGGCGGGCCCACGCAAAAACATTTTGCCCCCCCCGCAGCAAAGCATGTGCCGGCATCTTGTTCTGAAACTTGTTGCCATCCTTGGCGGAGCAAGGTCATGAGCAACTCAATCTTGGTGCGCTTCTCCAAAGGAAGGCCCAATCGGATAGCATAATCATCCACATGTTCTGCCACCGTTTTCGGGTAGGAAACTTTGATTGCCGCGTGTATCAGATCGGAGCCTGCCCGCGACATCCTGTAGTGCTCATGGAAAGATCTGTCCTGAACCACATAGCCGCGCATCATCAATTCTCTCAATTCGTCCGGGGCAGGTCCTGGGAGATAGTAGCTTGTGGAAAAAGCTCCTGCATGAGCCATTCTCAGTAGCAAGTCTTCCGCTTCTTCCTGCAGTTGACTCATGGGGAGAATGTGAACAGCTTCGGAGCTCCATAACCGGAATGAATCCGCCAAGTCCTTGAAATTGCAGTTGTGCAAGCTGCAGACCTCTCCAGAATCAGGGGGTCCTGGCAGCAACACCGCCTCTGCCTCTTTCAACTCGTGAAGTTGAAAGCGTTGCAGGTGAAGATCAAACGGCTGAGGTTTATTTCCCTGCAAAGTCATGTGCCGGAATGCGTTTGCAGACACCTTGCAAAAGGTAAGGTCTGAAGACCTCTGCGACGAACTTGCCCGTAAAGGTTTTCCGCGTGCAGCGGACAAGTTTGGTTCTGTATCTTCCACTATCACCAGGTCAGAGTCTGGTTCACAATCCTCGCCTGCAAATGGCATGGAAGAAAGACAAGCAACACCTAAAGCCACCAAACATTCCAACGGGCCCATGATGGAGTAGACAAAAAATGCTTGGCCAAATCTTCTTTCATGATGTGGGCATGCCTATCTGGGCCGCGCCTGGGCCTTGGTTACTGCCAGGCAACGCATGTGTCAGCGGTCGCAGCTGCAATTGCAAGGAGGCTGCCCTGAAGGACAAAATCAATGACCGGTCGCGATCACAAACCTGACAGAAGCATCAAGTTTCGGTACTTTCTGCAGCCCTCTGACCCCTGCCCCTTCACTTCACGTGCTCCCTCTTCAAACCTACAGGTGCTCATCAGCTCATACCTGGGTAAAGTTCAAATCAATAAACACCCTGTGAAAACGATTCCGGCTGTACATTGCAGCTGTCATTTTCTATGGACCGGATGTTGGGCCCAACACAGCCTCAACCAGGTGGTTCACCAGCGCTTGTGCAAGATGGCAGCTGAATTGCGGCTGCTTTGGCGGATCAGCTTCGTGCCCCTGGCAGGGCAAAGGCCAACTGGTCCGGCCATCTACCCGGAGAAAATTTTGGACCACAGTGACATCAGTGCTATGAAGTCCGGGCCTTGTCCTGGCGTACAGCGTCAACTATGTGCTTGGCCACGGAATGCTTCATCTTCACCGTGTCTCTGTACAGCATGTTGGATAATTCCCTTTGCGTCAAGCTTTTGAGGTAGTCGTTCTCCTGCAAGTGCAATAGCTTCCTCAGGTCAGGCCATGACCACCAAAAGAATACCAATAGCAGTAGTAAAAGAAACAAAAGAAGCAAAAGAAGCACCAGCAGCAAGAACAACAACAAGAACAAGAACAAGCACAGTGACACCGACAGCAGCAGCAACAACAACAACAACAGCAGCAGCAGCAACAGCAACAAGAACAAGGACAAGGACAAGAACAAGAACAACAAGAACAAGAACAAGAACAAGAAGAAGAACAACAACAACAACAGCAGCAGCAACAGCAGCAACAACAACAGCAACAGCAACAGCAAGAACAACAAGAACAAGGACAATAAGAATAAGAGAGCCAGGGCAAGAGCAACTGCAACCACGGACAAGTGCAAGCACGGCCACGACCACATGTACAAGTACATACTTTAGAGATATACAAGTATCATTCTGATAGTTAGGCGTCACTGGTCTAACACAGTCTGCAGGTTTCGGAAAGATGCGGGGTGCTGTCTAAATGAGGCCCAAGACCCACCAATCTAAATTCAAACTTGGACAGTGACCAGGTAGCTTCCAAGACCAAGGCTCAACACCAACCGCCGGAAACCAGGCTCTGTGCCAAGGTCTGACCATGCTGTTTGAGCTTGGGCAAATTCTTGCGGCTCAGAAATGGCAAAGTGAAGTAGCTGCGGCAGCCGGAGCTCCAAGGAAATGGTAGAGGCTCTCGAGTTAGGTCCTCGCCCTAGACATCGCTTCACTATGCAATGAAGTCCTTCGACGCTCCGCTCTACACAGCGCACCTTGCCAACCGAAAAGCAGTCGAGGTCTTGTCTACTTTCGCAAAAAAATGGATTGCCTATAATCGGTTCCCATACCACCCTGCTAAGCCATATGCCGTTTGAATGAAACCTGCCTGCCATGAATAAAGAAGCTATAGAAGAAACATTTGGCAAAACAAACATGGCAATTCTGTTCCGTTGGTTGCCGGCAGCTGCAGCCTCACTTGACGGCACCCAAAAAATTAATACCCAGACACATCCGCCAATCAAAGCCATGGTTTTGCATAGAAGATTAGCTACCAAAGAATGTGACAAAGCATTGTATCAATTTGTTATTGCTATTCATCCATTTATCTGTGACTCCATACCACCATCTCTCCAAATCTCCCTGCGAAAATCCATTTATTTCTATCCGTTGGGCCATCTACTCATGTACCTTTTTTCTCCATCCATCTATCTTCCTGTCTGTCTATCTGCCTATCTGTCAAAGCAGAAGCCATCGATCAAACAAATCAATCAATTGCCAATCATTCAAACCTAGTTATCAATCTATTTATCAGCCGATCTGCAAATCCCTCTTTCTTTTTGCTATATACCTATCCATCCATCCATCCATTATCCATCCAACCATCCATCCATCCATCCTTTGATCTGTCCCACTTATCTATCGAATCGGTCTGCCTGTCTGTCTCCATCCTATTTAGATCTACCTATCTATCAATGGATCGATCTACTCGTTTTCCATTTACCTATTGATCTATCAATTATCTATCTGTCGATAGCTGTTCATCACTGTAAACCTCTTTTTGGCAACCTATCGATCTATAAAGAGTCTTTCTTTCTTGTGTGTCTTGGGAATTTTCCGATCTTTTCTCACCTACTAAGCTAACCTAGTTTGTCCTGGTCTTATCTAGCTATCGGTATTGATCTATTGTCTATATATGTATCTATCTATATCTATCTAAATCTATCTTCCGAAATCTATCTACATCCATCTATATCTATCTATATCTTTCTATCTCTATATATCTGCCTCTCAATCTATCTATCTATTTATCTTTCTATCTATCTATCTGTCTATCTATCTATCTATCTATCTATCTATCTATCTATCTATCTATCTATCTATCTATCTATCTATCTATCTATCTACATCTATCTATCTATCTCTAAGTTTATCGAAGTCTGTCGAAGTCTCTCGAAATCTATCTAAGTCCATTTCAGTCTTACCCTGTCTAACCTACCCAACCTACCCAATGTACCTAACCTACCTTATATCTACCTACCTACCGACCTCCCTAAATAAGCTACCTTATCGTATCGACCTACCGACCTTAACCTAACCTAACCTAAGATAACCAAACCAAACCAAACCTATCGATCTATATATCTATATCTTCATCTACCTAATTACCTATCTATCTGTCTGTCTGTCTGTCTGTCTGTCTACCTTCGCACACAAGGCACGTGCCGGAACCGTGGAAGCCAATTGGCCAGAAGCGCCAACTCGCTTTCCTCGAAATCAAAAAGCTGCTCTCCAGCGGCCAAGCGGTCAATGAAAGGCCGTAGGGCTTGTTGATTCCCATCTGCTCCCCGCCAGCCAGGGTCCAAAAACACTCTGGTCAAGGCGTGGTGAGCAGGTTGCTGATGGGAGTCCCACAGCTGAATGGCTCTCTGGGCAGTCTGGCGGACAATGGCAGGGCTGTCATGCGCCAGGCCACCTCGCGCAATGCACCCCTAAAAAAGTTGTCTGCCCCATATTCATGCCTGGTGCCAAGTTTTTCATTCACACTCATCATTCACGCGCCAACAAGGCAAAAACATCTTAACGTTGACTAGTGCCAGGATCCAAGTTTGATATCCTCTTCAAAAAATCAAACCCCGGGAATCCTGGAAAGGGCGCATTTGGTTGCGTTGGTTTTTGCTAGAAACCTTTCCTTTCAGGAGCGTCTTCCTTTCTGCGGATCCAGGAAATTTACAGCAGCTGTTGTGCTCATTCCGCGCCCGTAAATAGATCCTTCAAACATCAGGCTCCCCTGAGGAACCATGTTCATTACACCAGCCAAGGTGACCAAAAAAAAAACAGCACCCAAACGAGTAGTCGAGGTGGCCATGAACCAAGCTCTTGAAGACGGGGGAATTTGCCAGCCGCTGAGAACCTAATCACAAATCCATTTAATCTCAGCAAAGCTTTGCTACAGTGTTGACCGTCTCTTCCTCAGCGTCCTTCCCAAAAATTGCTTGGCATGCCAAGGTTCGAAAGCAGGAGAAAGAAAGAATGAAAAGAGCAGGACAAAAAGAAAAAGAAACAGACAGACGGACAACAAGAAAAAACAGGAACAGAAGCAGGAAAGAAAAATGAAACACAGGAAAGAAGACAGAAAGAGAGCATAACAGAAGGAAAGACATGAAAGTGGATTCATGTGAGTTTCAAGCTTTCCTGATCAACAAAAATGCATCGAAAGCTACTGGAAGTAGATTGAACTGACTGACCGACACCTCTAAGTTAGACTCATGACCCAGGGGTTCAGCCGATCAGCGCAGCCATGGCTGGCGGAAACTAGAAATCATGATGCGCGGGCAGTCTAAAGGCGAGACACATAGGAGCCAAGGCAATTGGCCCCAGAAGTCCAATTTGGCACTGAGCTCACCTAGCTTCGACCAAAGGAGCTGCCCACAAAAACCCACACAAAAGACCAAAAGCTTGGTGGCAGGGTGTCCTGTTGTCTAAAAAGATTCCCAAACTCCTGCTGCTCAAACACTCCACATGCGGTCGCGGGCTTGCAGCCAGTCTTGCAAGAGCGCCACTTTCTCCTGCTGAGAGACCCGAGTCAGATGCGAGAGAATGTGGTCTCGATCCTGCAAAAGCAAACTTGCCTGTTCCTTCAAACCTCAGACAAGCTTTGCCCGCGAGTCACTGCTGCAAACCCTTGTGCCGGGCCATACTTGGTGTCCGCGCCAAGAAAACACAACGCGCAAACAGTCCCAGGACCACCGTGCCTGCATGATACATCTGAACTCACGTATTTCAACACATGTATGTACGGACATTCGTGTGTTCCCTGCATACCTAGGCCTATTATGCGTGTTTGCTTGCATTTCTCCGCGTGCGCTTTTACGCGTGCGTGTATGTATGTCTGTATATCTATATGTGGGTTTGCCTGTTTGCCTGCCTGCCTGCCTGCCGGTCTGCCTGTCTGTCTGTCTGTCTGTCTGTCTGTCCCTATGTATGCTGTATGTGTGTATATATCTGTGTATGCATGTGCATGTCTGTCTGCTTGTATGTATGTATGCATGTATGTATGTATCTATGCATGCATGCATGTATGTATGTATGTATGTATGCATGCAAGCATCGATGTATCTAAAGTGTTTACATATCTACGCATCTGAGTATCTGTGTACCTATGTGTCTGCGTAACTATGTAATTATCTGTGTCTGTCTGCCGGTCTGTCTGAATCTATGTACATACGTGTCCATCCATGCATGTGCCTGTCACTGTCGGGAGTTCCGGGAAATAAGTGT